AAGGCCAGGGAGCAGATAATCACCTCCTGGAGCAGGCAGAGAGATGGTGGCAGCTCATTTCATTTGGAAAACGCCAACAACATCTTAGGGAGTTGATGGTGGCAAGCAAGTCTAAAAACCAGAAGCCACATGGGCAAGGATAGTATGTGGAGAAAGCAAAGCATGTGAGAGGTGTCCACAAGAAAGCTAAATATCTGGTAGGAGATCTACGTACCAGTGCAAAAGGCCCAGGTGAAACCCAGCGCACACTCCCCAGGCTGGCTTCACCACACCTCCAACATTCTTCCATGGAGCAGTTCTGCCCCTGCCCCACTGGGCTACTCCTGTGTTGCACCACTCCAAATCAATGTTTTAAGAGTGTGCTTAAATAGTATCAATAGCAATTAGAGGGGAAAATCCTGATCTCATCCCCAGATCCAGTTAATTGTCACAACATTGATTTACTCTAATTTGACTTCTCACTCCAAATTAAACCTGCATTACTGAAGGAGGGACCACAGGCAAACTCTCCCTGCTCACCCCCTCCCCTCCAAGACAATAAATTTAATATTGAATACACTTGGAAAAAAAAGGCAGTTGTTGCAGGATCCATACTGAAAGATCTTTTTCCTTTTTTCCTCCTTTTTTTTTTTCCCCCTTCCTGCGAGTAATTAAAAGATGCTTTTCTTGACTAATGAGCCCCCTGTTTAGAAATGGGAAGTCGATACTCCTTCACCAGCAGTCAGCTTCAATTTGTCACAGGGCTCCCGAAGTTTGAGCGGCGGTTCTCAGGGCTGCTGGTAATTGCTGGAACCAATTACCAGCCTTCCAAAGCTGACCTAATCAGGGACCCACGGACACCATTGCTCAGAGGCCAGCTGGTCTCCTTTCCCTTCCACATGCATGTATTCGCCCGTGCTTGGGTTTTCAGCTGCTTTGCCAACTTTTCATGCTCACCGCGGAGCTCATGTTTATTCCTCTTTCCTCCCCGTAATCACGCCAACACCCTCAGCCTGAACTTTGCCTCATGCCACTGCTTTACTCTACGTTGCTTCCTTGGGGATCCCATTTCACCTGTGCTCCCATAACCCGCACTGCCTTCCAGTTTAATGCTAAAGGCCATCCAAGGTGTTGCTTTTGATCCAGAGGCACCGAATGACCTACAGATCTGCTTATTTTATAAGCTGCCTCTCAGACTTTATGAGACCGGGCACGTGTTAACATTAGAGGACATACCTGGGCAATATATCCTTGATGAAAGTAACAGGAGTAATACCTTTTGCTACAAAACTTTCAGGCTTTGAGTTCACACCCTCTGATCTGAGAGCCTTTCTGACCTTCAAAATACATTTTTAGGTTTATTTTTCCCCATGACTTTCCTGGAGAAAGAGTTTTAAGTGAATTTGAGTGGGCTAGGAAAGGACAGTGGCGTGGTACATTTGATGTGGCTTAAGTTTGATAATATTTAACTTATTTTTGGGTGTACAAAATTAAAAATGCAAGCTGTACTCAAAGCCTGGCATATCTCTATTTTTATAAATATTGGTGACATTTTCCTGAGTAAGACTAATTATGCCATGGCCTACAGTAGCCATTTGGCAATCCCTCCTGCAAAACATTGGTCTCCCTGGGTCTCTCCACCCTTCCCTCTACTCAACAGAAACACACGGGATGCCACTGCAATGATTCAGTGATCAGTGCTGACTTCTCCCAAGCTGAAGGGACTGCTTTTGAAGCCATGTCAGAACTTCCAGGTTCCTTTCAGTGCAGCATGTGAATGCTCCTCGAGCCTCCCAGCCCAACAGATTCAGTATTTGTGGAGAAAGCCTGTGTGTTTCTACTGATGGCTTCATCTACAATAGAAAGACACAACATGAAATGGCGAAACCCATGTATGTCTGATCCCTTCTACAAATGTCTATTAACAGAGGGTCCGTCATTGTGCTGACAACTTTTGGTGCTTTGGTTGGGGGGGGGCCCACAGTGGAGACAGAAGAGTTAAGAGACATGCCTATCAAAGAAACACATGAGAAGATTTTGTCTAAGGTCTTTTACTGATGCTTTGTGCTAAGCCTTTGAATCAGCTGGGGGAACAGTTAAGAAATCTTCTGTTCTTGTGTTTCCAATACTTTGCTTGCAGGCACAGCCTGAAGGTCTGAGCAAACATGTGGAAAGCCATGGAGGGTGGATTAATGAGTATATGTAGTGGAACTGAAAATGGGAGCACTACTCAGGACAGACGTAGTAAGTGGGGTTGCAGAAGGGAATTGGGATATGAACAAGTTCAGGAGAAACTTGGAGGAAAACATGGGAGTACTTCCCTCTCCCATCTGATGGGGTTTTGGTGAGAAGAGAACTCATTAAAGCAGGAGCATATTGAGTGCATGAATCTCTGCATATAGCAGCTCTCAGACTCCAGCTGATCCCAGAGCCCACCAGGACGGGCAGGAACAGCCGCCCAACACTAGCTATCAGCTCTCTTCCCCTTCAGAAGAAATTTTGCTGAATGATTCTTTCTTCCCTGATCTTCAAATATCCTTGGACTCCCTCCATCCCCCCTCCACCAGAACTCCAAATCTCAGCTCCTCACTCATCTTTCTACTTGCTTACTTTCTTGCCTCTTCCCCGAGTCCCTCAACTTTGGTTGCCTCTTCCCCCTACAGTCCCCCAACAACAAAAAAGGGGCATTTGTTTAACCCCACTTCAGGTCCATTGTAGCTGCTTCTGATAGGATTCTTCATGCAAAACTGCAAACAGCAGCAAGAAAATAGAACGCATAACATATATAAAAAACTTGAACTTACCTTCTTGCCACATCTTGGACAGAAGGATTACGATGCTAGTAGAGACAGTAAAGTACAAAAGGAGGCACACACTTTCAAAAAGCAGATGTTTCAGATATTTATGTGAAAAATATCACTTCAGTCCCCACTGCAAACAGTGGAAAAAATGGGAGTAGCAAAGCAAGATTACAATCGCTTTGTGGGAAATTTTTCACATAATCTTAATTCTATTTTTTCTAATATCTCTTCCATCATCTAAGCGTGTACTTGGACTCACAGATGGAAATGCATATTTATAAAATGAATCTTATACCTTTTGTTCAAAAATGTTAAGAGACCAGGAAAAAAAGTGCAATTATGTCACTGACAAATACAAACAGCTGAATATAAACACGAAGATGCACAGAAACAAAGAAGAATTAAAATAAGCTCTGAGCATGAAATACAAAGAGAACAAAGTTGATTTTCTATAAGTAAAACTCACTTCCAAACATAAAAACCTGAATAATTTAATTCAAATGGATGGCGCTCTTTTCACCGCAGTCGTGTATTTCAGATTTTTCATGATAATATCTTTATTATATGTATACTAAAATAATATTTTTTTTAGAAAAATAAAAATCCAATTGAGTGTATGTCTTTTCCTTTTAAAAGTATTCAGAACTGAGATATCTCCTCTCCGGCTCACCTCAGCAGTAAGGAGCAACATATATTTGTTAGTTGCAGCAATATAAGATCTTTGGATTAAAGGAATTCTAATGACTGAAAGGCAGCAATAAGTTGATTTCAATCTACCTGATGAAATCATTATATTAGCTGCCTAATAATATACATGTATACAGCAGACACACAGTTTATGTATGAACAAAATCTCTCTGTAGGTGTCTCTGAACATTTTTATATGCATAGTCATTCATCTAAGTAGCCTGATTAATGTACTGGCTTCATTCTCGAAGATGAACCAAAGGTGGCACCACAAATTCATTTTTCAGGGCTAACGAAATAATGCAATAAGAAACAGTTGACTTTATTACAGACAACAGTACAAACCTACTCCTGCACCATAGGAGGTGGCCCAGGTATATGCTCCCAGGTTATAATTTCACTTGATCCAGTACTGGAAAAAGCAGGATCCAGAAATATACATAAACAAAATCAGAATATAATTCCCTCTGATTTCTCTCATATGCAGGAGGCAAACACTGAGAGCTAAACCTCCATCATGCCGTTTGCTACCTGGGGACCGACCAGTGCTCGGATGCAGGCTGACCCCCTGCAGCTCACCATAAGACAATTATAACACACTTCTGAAGACAATTTCAAAGATTGGCCCAGCTGTGCAAGGTAGTCCAGGTCGTCTTTCTCCTGCCTGAACCCCCCTGCTGAAATGCAGTCTGCCAGAGGCCACTCTGCTTCCCCCAAGCCAAAACCTTAGTTATAACTATTAGCACTTACATTTTGTATTTTCACAGCTTCCTCCTTTGACACCAATCAGATAAATTAAGCATAAAAAAATCTTCAGCTTTTAGTAGGACAACACATTGCAGAAAGAAGACTTTCACTGTACTGAGCTATGACTGGTAGGTAAAATACTGTTCTCATAGGAAACTCGCACTCCCCCATCAACTTACACCTTCACATATATAACATAAAAAAAATAAGCAAGTCCACAGTGAGCAGGGCTTTCAATATCTGTGATGAGAACCCAAAGACCTGACGGCCAGGTACAAATTCCTGGGTGAGCTTGAACTACTGAAGGCAGATCATTAATCACAAACTGATAGTCCAAGAGCCAGGAACTTTGTGGCTGACCGAAACAAAGAAACGCATTACAGTATAATTTAGATTGAGGAACAACCAGGCGGGAGGGTTTCAATCTCCCGCTGTTTTGTCAGTCAGTCAACTGAACAAAAAAATTGTAGAGCTGCTGAGGAAACCTTCACAAGAATGAAAAAGTAACGGGGTCACTCAACTTTTGACACACACCCCCCCCAGCCCTCCTTGACACACGTTCTCCCTGGGCATGCAGTGAAGATATATATACGTAATGATTTTTACAAGGCTTACTCCAGGGGAGAATTTTAAAAGTCCATGTTGTAAAACGTAACGCCCTACCACCTCTGACTGCAATGCCAAAATGCGGATTTAGGTGCTCATAGCTTACAGCCTCGGCCACGTGCAGTATCACATACTACCTGCCTGCTGCGTGCCATGGTGAGATGGAGTAGGAAAGCCTACCTTGTGGAGTCTGATGAAGGTTTCATATGGCCTTGGCTGCTCTCCTCCCACACACTGTTTGCCAGCTCATTCCCGATAGAAGACATCACCTTGATGAGCTCTATAGGCCAGTCATCCAGGTCGAGAGAGCGGACCCGGGAGAGGTGCGTGCCAAGGTTTCGGTGTATACCTGAGCATTCAATACATATGAGGGCTCCCAGATTCAAGCTGGCCCAGTCGGGGTCTATGGGAAAAGGGACACAAGCAATTAGTACAATGAAAATTAGTACAACAAAACACCTAACAAAACTTTCTGTTAAATGTTAACGTTTGTGGATAAAGATTTTGGCTCTAGGGGAAAAAAATGCAGGTGTCCTGTCCAAAAGCACAGCTGGAAGGTCTTCCAGAAGGATCAGTTTTGCCCTGTGGAGATACTAACCCTTCTGAGAAACCCTCAAGGAGTAAAAAAAAATTGTGGAGGGGCGTCTCAAAAGATGTATCATTCCACCTTCAGTCAAAAGAAAAATACGAATTAGAGAGAAAAGAAGAAACAAAAAAAATACAAATGCAGTGGCAGGCAGCTCATGACAAAGTAGTGGAGAAAGCCCCTCCTTGGAAATCTAGAGCCACTCGTAGCCAATTACAAGGGAAAAAGGAGAAAAAAAAAGAGTGACTAGATACAATGTCTCTGTTGCTAACTATATCAACTCCCTTAATAACCATCTGTATCATCACCTACATATGGCTTTTACATCTAACACACTATGGGGTATGTTTTCATCTCTAAGATCAGGGAGATAAGTACTAAGATGAAAATGTGATACTTTGAACAGTTCCAGTTTCAGTGTACGAGCCAGAAGGATTTCACTGACACACACACACACACAAAATAACCCCGCAAACGATAAAGCTGTGACAAACCTGACAAAAGCCGGGAAATTCAAAGTCATTTCCCAAGATGGTTCACTTTTTTGTCACTGTCCTGTGTTACTGAAATCTAGATTTGTATGACTCTCCCTCTCTCCAACAAACATTCATTTTAACAAATGCAATGAAAGACGTATGGGAGGAATTTTTGGTGGCTCCCCTCCCCCCCGCCGCTGTCAGATCTTTTCTTCTTGCCTTACCCTGGGCCTCCCAAAGAACTAGTAGGCTATCACGAATGCCAAGCAGGAAAATCGTGATTAATTGAGAGGGCAGGCAATTTTTATTCAAATCTCAATAAAATTTAGAGCTGATAGAAAATGAGTTTCCAGTGTCCCCTTCCATTCAGGGAAATTTCATCCAAAGACTAATTTCTACTTTATGTAACCCAAAATCGAAAAGTTATTTTTGGCAGCTAAAATATGTGGAAACAAAACGTTTCCTAGCTCTTCGCCATGTCACATTTGGACAGAAAATATGAAAGGAAAGAAGATAATTTTAATTGCAAAGTCCCACATTTCACTGAAGGCATTGATTGACATTTTTCAGTCAGTCCTTAGAAATCTAAAAATATCCCCAATAAGAAAAATCACCCATCTTATTTCACTTGTGCAGAAAAACAGATCTTTTGTTTAAAAAGTGCCTATCCATACCAAGTCTTATACTAGGAATACACAGCATTTCAGATCTCCAAAAAATAAGGTGAGACAAAACTCCTTCCATGCTTTCCAAGTCCTTGGTAAGACAACCATGACAAACTCCTTTCCTGCATACTTCTTCAAGTCACCTCCACCAGTTACTTTCGGTGTCTTGCCAGTGGGGGAATCAGTAGTATATTTGAAACACACTAAAAATCCCCAAATACTAATTTGTCGGTAAAAGCTTGAACAGAGCAGATAATAATTTAAAATTTGCAAACTGTGTCTCGGAATGAAATCTCTGTCTCTGACTTGCAAAGGCCGGGTTATCTTCACAAAAATAAAAAGTGCAATGAGCTCAAAGCAGCACAAACTAATACTAATTTGTCTTTAAAAGCTTGAACAGAGCAGATAATAATTTAAAATTTGCAAACTGTGTCTCGGAATGAAATCTCTGTCTCTGACTTGCAAAGGCCGGGTTATCTTCACAAAAATAAAAAGTGCAATGAGCTCAAAGCAGCACAAACTCAGAATGAAGCAAGAGAAAAAATACTGATTAATATTATTCCAATTATTCTAACAGAACTGATGTTAAGGACCTGACCTCCCTCCCCAGTACCTCTGTGTACTTGAAGCACATCTAGTGTATCTTTTACCAAATAAATTTTTAAAATATTCACCTACGTCTAATTGACAGTGCTGGTACGACTGAAGTAGTCCACCAAAGCGATAACCAAGAAGTTACTTGAAATTTTGTCAAGATAGTATTTTAAATTTAAATAATCTGACTACACAGCTGAGTTTGAAGGTGGCAAACTAGGAAAGGCAAGTGTTGAACTCATTATAAACATCCAGTGAAAAAACAGACTTGTTGATCTTGGTTACAACTGGATAACGCAGAGCAAGACAGGGCTCTAATGAGGAGCTTGGACAAGTGGCTTTGTTCGATGGATTCTGGGAAAAAAATGACATGATGTCACTTATGACATCTGTTTCAGTGTATGCACATGAAAAATTGTTCTCAAAAAGGGGTATGCTAGACGACAGAAGTCACTACCCACCAATAAGAGAGGCAAGCTGTTGTAAAATACATGCTCAGGGATGTCCCTGTTTTCAATTCACTGTTCCTATCTGCATCTTCCTCATCCCATATGTAGTTGAGCACTTTTTAAATCTCATGCTTGAAATTTGTTTCCACTGATTTATACTGAAAAGAACCTCACGTGGTTACTAAGCCATAACTATTCAAGCTGTTTTTTTCCTTTTTTTTTAGATGATCAAAAATCAGCTCAGTTTTCCTGCTGATGCTAAGAGTAATCCTGAATTGGAGGATGCTCAGAATACTTACAAGCACGTGGCAGGCTTTTCTCCAGTATGCATACATCCAAATTTGACGGTAAAAGAAGGAAAAAGCCCATTCAATGCAGCTATAGGTGCTATAAAGTTAGTTTCCTCACTTCGTTTTACTCACAATTTGTCAAATAAAATATGACTTTTTAAACATCACTGAATATTCCCAGATTAAAATTTTCAAGCTACCCATATTCTTAAAGGTGTTTCGTTATCTCCTTCTCTAAAACACTTTGACTTGCACCTCAATCAGATTGATCATTTGAAGGTGAAAGCTCTTGGAACAGCTCTTTTAGGAGAATAACAACTCCCCACCATCTCCTTCATCCCTCTGGACGTGAGGTTGCTGATGAAAGGCTTTGCCATGCTAAATCCTGATGAGTTCAGCATGTGCAACATAGTGCTAGGCTGAGAGAAGAGGAGCAGGGAGGAGCAGAAGAGCCAGGGAAAGGAGAAGCAGGGGGCAAAGGCATCTTGCAAAGAGTTGCAGCAAAAGAGAGAAAAGCTTACATCTTTTCTTTCTTTAAAAGTTTTTTTTTCTTAATTCTGAATATAAAATTGAATCTTGTGATGGGTCTGATAGGCTTCCCAGGGCCACCCAAATTACTACTTCAGTGTTTGACTCTCAAATACAAAATACACCATAGTAAGTTATTAGACGCCTGGACTGGAAAACTCATGATGAGACTCTCCTTCTTTAAGCCCTCCCTGTTTTCTTCTATAACGGAAAAGACCTGATATTCCACGCTCTCCAGATATCTTGAAAGAGTGACTCATATTTATCCTCTCATCTGCTCTTTAAGCAGTAAGACTGGAAGAGCTAAAATCCTTCGGGGGCAGGAATTTAGCTGGGTTTGCCTAAGCAATTTGACCATCTTCAGTGCCTTCTCCAGACAGAAGTCAGCACCGGGACTCCAATACTCTGGGAAAAGGCAACATCAGTCTTCTTCTGAAACATAAAATGAGATCTTCTTGGGCAAAAACTCCAGCACCTAAAGAGCACTTTGCCTCATCTATTGCTCTGGGATGGGAACGTTAAAAAAAGGACTTAAAAACTTTAGTCTGAGACTGCCAAAGGGCCAGAAGGCTGGTGGCACACAGATGCCGCTGGTACTACTGCTGCTGATTAACATACAACAAGGCAGAAATTCCCTGGTGAAACAAAGTGCTGTGATGAAGTGCTAAAAAGGCAAAGAGCTCTAGAAAGAGGAAGAATGAGACTTCTGAAGTGGAAGATTGATGGCTCTTGAATAGAGCTGAGAGACAGCAACATCTCATATTCCTTTGCTCCCAAACATCTGGCTTTGTGAAGATGCAAACTACGTAAGCTTTCCACAAGAGCGCTGGTGTTTGTGATGCTAAATGTTCTGGGGGTAAGGACTTGCCCAGGCAAGGCAGAAAGGGAGAGAAGGAAATAAAGCAAAGCCTGGCAGAAAAAGAGCAGCCTGAGGCTCACCTCGTGCATGTTTACATTTTAAGATACATCACTTTGGAAATATCTCAGATTTTTCAAGAGGAAAGATGGTGGCCTTAAAATTAGGAAGACCAAATGGCAAGAAGAGTCAGAGGGTTTAAATCTTCTCTAAACAATTAAGAGAGGTTCCAGCTGAGATCCCAAAATCACCCCCCCCATCCCCCCAAAAGCTACACAACCAAGCGCTGAGAGTTGCCAAAAAGGGCAGTCCCACCCTGCCCCCTCTCAGCAACATGTTCTTGGCACATCCCTTCTGCTGGCACCGTGCACCTATGGCCAGCTTGACCCATGAAGCAATCTGGATGAAAAACAACCTGGCTGAAAGGGGAGGGAGGAAAAAAAAAGAAGTGCTACTTTCTTGCACAATCATTTTCCTGATTAAACATCTAGCTTGGCTGCATAAATACTGGGGTACGTGCAAGACTGGGGAGAGAAACGCACACCTTGGGGATAGTGTGGACTCTGGGTGGAGCTGAAACAGATCATGGACACATCAGAAGGACATGCGTGAGTGCGGGAAGTCGTCTGCAGTGAAAGGATTGCACATTCCCACTCTGTCTGGGTGACCACGTAGCAGGGTCTGGGAAAATGCCACCCACAGCTGTACAGACAGACTGGAGCAGAAATCAGTAACACTCCCACTGCGGTCTGCTCACAGGCAGCAGTGAGTACTTCAAATGAGCTAAATATACATCTAGGTCACTTGAAGACCCCATCCTTCTCATATACAGCACAGCATCTTATATGCCTTTTACTTGAACTATAGCAAAGCTTTGGTGTAAATCTGAATGACTACCAGGTCAATATGAAAGAACACTAATAAGTAAGAGTCATTTATGGGCTGTATATGTTAAAATACCAGCCAAACCAATGTTTCCCCTTGTTTATCACCTGCTGGATTACTAGCCAGTGGAATGCAAAGACCTTAATTTATCCATGTTGCTATTTTTTCTCTCTGTCTCTGAAAAGTCCCTGTGAAATCTCTCTTTGGGATCTCCCTCCAGCAAGCCAACAAGCTGTTTTGACAGCATCCCAGTGCTGGTGCTCAAAGCCCGGTCCAGCCAGGGCTCACACCCCTGTGTGCTGAACCGCCGGGGACAGGGCAGCTGCCATTGTTCTTGATCCATCTCCTATGGATGGCATATGAATATCTGACAGTTTTCAAAAGAAGCAATTAAAACCAGTCTGTATGTGAAGCACATTTTGATGGCATGGAAAAATCTTTATTATTTTAAATGGCTGTTAACGTGCTAACCACCTTCCCTTCAAGCCTTCTGAGGATGAGGCAGGGGATTGTTTGGTGGATGACCGAATCAGCTAAATTGCTAACTATACAGATAGCAAATTAGTCATGCAAAAGCACTTGCACTTCCAAATGAATGTTCATTTTAAAGTTAACTGGGATGTTAGAATGGCTTAGACCAGTAGTCAAAATCCTGAACAGCAAGTCTTAAAAAAAAATTATACCCAAAGAAAAATAAATGAATATTTTTCCATTTTAAGCACATGTAAAAATCACAAGAAAAGTTCTGACTTTCAAATTTCAAAGATATAAAAATGCACAAGTTCTCAATCTTTCTGCTTCTACAACTAATTGCTTTAGAGCAAGAGTACTTCCTTTTCATGGCTTTGTTGCAAACCCCTGGAACTAAAGAGCACCAGAATAATGACCTCAGCTGGGGTTAGTGAGGTGAACCGCAGCTCAAAGTATTCTCGAGAACACTTTTCTGAACACTAAGTATATGTTTTAAAAAAATAAAAAAAAGGAAAGAAACACAAAGGGGAGGAAAAAAAAAAATCCCAAATCGGTTTTCTAGTATCCAGATATAATGAGCAATGACTTTGGTTTCTTCTGACAAGTAACCCTAAAAAAAACAAACCAAAAAAAGCACCAAACAAGCTCTACGTCTTTGAAAATATTACCATGGCACACATGTCCTCTGTCCTTTCCAATAGGAGGAAAATGGAAGTAACTGATGTCAAACAGCAAACTTCTTTTTCCTTTTCTTCAAAGGAAAGTAAAGAAAAGCTGACATTTAAAGTGGCATGTGAAACAACAAGGGGAAAAAATTAGGATGCATCCGACACTGCACATATTAAGTACAAATTAACATAAAATAAGTCTGATTAAGCAAACTCTATAATGAAGAAACAACGTTCAAACAACATATGGAACGTAATACCGAAAAAGACAAAGCCCATGGTGGGCATTCACCTATGTCTCTGTCAAGAAGAAGCCTTGGCCAAGAAGGAGAAGAGGTCAATTTTCTGAAGCCAAGCGGCCGTACTTACTCTGTGCTTCACAGTCCACGCAGTGGGAGTTGCCTCTGATGTTCCTTATGGACTGAAGGGCCATGGCCTCGTTCTGACTCGTCAGGCGGGACTGCGTAGATTTAAAGAAATGCATAAGCAACAAGTAAAAACCCAATAAAAAGACTTAGATGACACAACTGTCAGCTGAATGAACGGCAAAACCCAAAGCTTAGGCCAAGGTTGAAAGAATGTGATCAAGGAACCAAGTCCTTGGTTTGCCTCTCAAGAAATGGTGATCCTTTGGCATCTCCCAAGTACTGCAAGTCCACACCTGCCAAGCAGGGACTCCTCTTTCCTCCCATGTTTCTCACAGCTCAGGATTTCTCCCAGGGCTCTATCCACCCTGCCCAGGAGCTCCCAGCGTTTTGGGGTCTCCAGTCTGGATTCTAACAAGTGGGGAGACTGCACAGAGGAAAAACAAGCTTCAAAATGAACCCTGCTATTCACAAGTAAAATGGTCACAGAATAGGTTTGCTTCTTGAGATAAATTAGATAAGAATATTATTTTATAAAATCAATTTCTTTTATTGATGTTTATGCTTTTGCTAATGAAGACTAAGGGATGGTTTGCAAAAGCAACTGAAACCTTTTTATCATCAAAAGGTCAGATTTAATCAGATGGCTCCCATTTAAATTCTCTCCATGATGACCTGCCAATGACCTCCACTTGGACCTGGAGAGACTGTCACTATGTACAAATAGTTCGGCTCTACCCAACTAAACCGTCTTGCAGGCTTTCCAAGAAGAAAACTGTTAGCTGTACCAAATAATGGACTCTCTGCAATGAATTGATTTAAGCGGGGATGAGGACCAGGTCTTAAGTATGGCCATGTGGAGATATGTCCTCCTGATCTATCAAGAGAACACCTACTAAACCTGTCCAACTAACTACACTTTGCTATTCCAGCTAGTTCTTCTGACAAGTTTTGAGACCTCAGTAATACTTTAGAGAAAAAAAACCTCTCTGAGCATTGTAGTGGGTTGAATAAAAAGCTCCCTGTACACGCGTAATCTTATCAACAGATTCGCCCTTTCAAACGAATATTTAATATACACAAAGGCTGATCTTCTCTGTGGGTACTGCATAGTAAATACTACCAGCCACTCTTTATCCTCTTTTATATTAGTATTTTTATATAGGTGTTAGTGTACAAATTTCCTCTATTGTGTTCCCTTAACATACATAGTTGAATGCATAAATCCATGACAGGCAAAAAACCCATACAAGCAGTCATTTTTCTCCATCTCAGAAATACATATTGGAAATAAATAAATTTTTTAAGAAAAATGGAAAGTAAATTATATTATGATGATGATAATTACTGGTGTCTGATCTACTCTGGTAGATCAGGGCAATGAGAGCAGGCATTCATTTTAAAATATGAGTCTCCTCCTTGCAATATGAAATCATTAAAGACGTCTGTTAGGTGGATAATGTCAAAGGATCTATAGGTTTGAATAATTACTCCTCACTTCTCTCCCTCCACTACCACTCAACACCTTGCTCTCTAGTTGTGAAGTGTTTGCAAACACAGACTCAAGAAGCAGAAGTTCTCTTGCCCTTCCAAAAATGAGCAATGGCTGAAGAAGTCTCAGATTTTAAACATTTATTTATTTATTTATTTAGACAGGAAAGGAGACCAAATTACTTGTGTCATCATAGGAAAGCATTGCAAGGTAGAAGGCCTGTACCTCTTAGACAATGTTCATCTTCCCCCAAAAAGCTTTGATGAACTGTTTCTGGATTTGCTTTCTGTTATATTAGTTAAGGCAGAAAACCATAAAAAAATTAATTCAGTGTAATTAAAGAAAAGAAAAATTGTGCCTATGCTTTGTAAAGCAACAGACACAAAAGCAATAGCTTAATTTTGATTTCTGTGATTTGTATTACTTCATCATGGCAGAGTCCTATGACTGAATGCTACTGCACATTTATGGTTAGGCCAACCAGAATGTTTAGTTAAATTTTGCTGTGCAGAAGCTTAGTAGATTTGACTAGTAAATACACTGGGTTTTGGGTCTGCCTCCACTCTTCTCCAAGGCAGGCTTCTCCTCAAGGGCCTTCTGCAGACCTTTAACCTGAAACAAACCTGAATCTGCAGCAGTGACTACACTATACAACTTCTCAGTAGGGAGAGTCCATGACCTAGCCCCAAGTTTCAGTCAAAATTTCAAGAGCAATACCGAAGGCAAAACAGATAATCCAGGAGCTCCATTAATTCAATTGCTGTAAAAAACCTGTAAAACAGGCTACAGCACCAGCTGTCTTGAAATAGCTGAGATATGCATGCAGCTCTAACACTGCTCTGTCGTGTGCATAATACATGCATGTCTCTAGTACAGGTTTAAAATTCAGAGTTCTTGATTTTGCTTTCATCTTAATGATCATCCACCCGTTACTCATTTTCAGTATCACTCTGTGTACCATACCTTGTTCTTGCTGCTCTCACATGACTGTAAACTGGCCAAGATCTGACTCTCTATAGCTTGTACCCACGCATCTCTTTCTTCATAGGTGGTAGCTTCAAAGTGCCAGGTCTGGCCAGTGAGAGAGACAATGATAAACTCAAAGTTTTCTTCTTGTTCTGAAAAAAACATGCAATAGGAAGAAAAGTTATAAGTTTAAGGCTATCGATAGCTAGGCTCAAACAATCCTGTTTGATGAGCATTTCTGCAATGTAACGAGCAAACGCAGGTCTGGACATTTGAGGTTTGAGGCTAGATATATCCAACTACCCTGCAGTTGCACAACACATCAGAAAATGACTTGCGGATCCACTGCTTTTTCTCTCCAAATGTTATGCAGATAAAGTACTGTTTTGGTTCCTGTGTGCGTTTGAGAGTTCAGTATCGAGTCTATACCTTTCTCGAACACAAAGGGGCTAACAAGCATTACTTAGAATTAAACCTGAGGTGCTAAGAGATACATAATGTAAAAATCAAAATGTGTCACAAAATAACTTAAAAGATGAATGGACTATAAAAAGCTGACAATACAGAAAATTTGACAATTTACTCTCTTCCTTCAAACAGTTTTTTACATGCACAGATATATTAAAAGTGGATATGTAAATTTTCTTGTCTACAGCATAAATACACTGGGTTATAATACAGGATTAAAATCAGTTCAACCTGTTCAACATTCACGTTTCACACAGGAGATGAGAAAATGATCTGAGAAGCTAGCAGAAAGGGTCAATGAAATATCCTTAGGGCTACTCGAGTATAAGGACATATATTCAGGCCAGAGGACCGCAGCATATGAAAATACCAGCAGAACTGAACTAAATGGACACATACTCTAACCACACATGGGACACCAAAGTCAAATTAAAAAAAAAAAAAATCAAGGAAGCTGAAACAGAGCGAGTGGAATTGGGAAGGGCAGGCATGAAGCATGAAAGGAACAGAATAATAGAGCACAAAGTTCTGGTGAACATCAGCCATAATGGGCTTTAGAAAGAACATTTACATTCGCTTGTCTGCTAATGACTTATTATATATTCAGAGCCATGAAACTCCTGCATTACCTTGTCAGCCATAAGCATGCAAAGATAAGTGACAAATCTAGCACTAGCTTTAAAGCCAGTACTGCTGCTCACTGGCAGTCATTTTCTCAACCTGTGGGACAACTGGTTTTCTTTCATAAACTTGATGCTAGCAAGGCCAGTGCTTACACTGCTTTAATGATGCCTCAAAAAATAGCAGAAGGTTACTTTGCACCTTGAGGTGAGAATAAACAGAGGTGAAGGTTATTTCCAGGTGCATGAGCTGCATGAAGTGGCAGTTTTACTAAAAAAAATAGTATGTGGGATAAGTGGGAAAAGAAAGATAAGAGAAATGATGCAACTGTACGACTATAACTACTTTTCATTTTAGCAACACTGTGTTAAAAACAAACAGGTAGTCTCGTTATCCAAAATGCTATGACTAAATCATGGAAAAAGCCACATTTATCAGAGCTTTCAAGAGTTTATGAGGAAGATGTAAGGGGAACTACTCAACAATAAAGGAAATTACGCTCAGTCCTGTGCGCTGTCTCCTGTAGGACAACACAGATAGGTTCTTCTACTTATGTAGAAGTGGTATAGCATACGATCAGTGGGGAGGGTACAGGCATACGCAGAGTTATGCATATGTTGACGAGAGCAGGGAACGATGGTGAAGGAGGAGAACATGAAAAACTGAATCCCACCTGAAGCAGCCCCCTGTAGAGTCCAATTTAGGAAATTCATCATTCTTAGGCTTTTCAATGGCTTCTAAGCGATAAAACTTTGTACTCCTGAAGCCTTACTAAAGAAGGATTTCCAAATGACGGTCACTAAATGTTCCGAAAATCCTTCTATATAAATTACTCACTGTGGGTGTTACTGAGACACACATATTGTTATGGCAGGGATCCTGCAATATGCAGTAACACAAAGGCCCTTTTCAGCCTCACTCCATTTTCTGCATCTCATGCCCTTCTCCCTCAGCCCTTCCCTTCTCCACTCGCACCTCTGCTCCAGGCTGCATCATATTTTCCCTGCACCTCTCTCCCCTGACCATACACCATACCACTTCTACATAAGCCAAAGGCTTGGCATAAGCTGAAGGAGCTGCCTACTAAAGAAAACAGTCATCTTGCCACATCAAGTTAAAAATTCCCCACACCTGCTTTTCAAGCAGGGAGGAGGCCCTGTAGGGACGCCAGGACACAGAAGAGCACAACAAGAGAGGAGACTTCTCCAGCACACGTGGCAGGGCTGACTTCTCAATGAACAACAACAAGTATATGTGGTATATAACTAATACTCAACAAGTATATACGGTATATCTTCAGAGAGTCTCTCTGCACTAATCCTGTATCAGTTCATCCCAGCATTTAAGTACGAGCTGACTTTCCAGCACTACAATTCCAGACCTTAAAAGAAATATATGCAATCAAGATGCAGCATCATTGAATCCTCCTATCTCCTATTTGCCAATAATCCTGATCATGTACATGAAGCTGGTTTGCCCAAGAAGGGCTTATGACAAATAAATTCTGCAATTCAGCCAGCGTACCATTTAAAAGTGAGGTTGAAATACCATCCTTGCAGCGGTACCTCTGCAAGCTTTGTTTTCCAGAAACGCTACACAAAGTTATTCCCCTGCTTACGGGAGACCTATGGCAGAGGACACAAACCCGGCTATTCAGGCAACTGGAGTGCAATTCAGGAAACACCTCCAGCCATTTCCCATGGTTGCTCTTTTATACACCAAGTCTCCTTTTCCCAAAGGCGAGGCTCCCGTGTTTCATCTCCTGACCTCTTCTGCTGTGACCAGCTGACACTGTGACAAAAGCTGTAAAGACCCTGCACAGCCTTTGTGGTTTGGGATCGCAAAGTCCACGTAACACGCCGGTGAGTCTGTCCTTGTACAGCCCCACCGCGGATTACGAGGGCTGCAGTGTGTTTTAAAGCTTGGCTGGAAGGATATTTTCAGTTCATCAGTAAGTTAGCTGAAAACTTGGTCATTGCTGATGATACATTAAGAACATACAAGTTTGCACTCTCCTATATTCACTAAAGCTTCAGGTTTACTCCCTAAAAAGCTCAGATGAAAAGCAACTGTGCCAGTTGAAGATGTGTTCAGTAATACATTTTCTGCTTAAATACACCGAATTTTTTTTTTGTAAGCACAATTGTGAAACAAAGCAGCAATGCCTGCTCCACGTCACCCACAGGGCAATGCCTACAACAGATGAGCAGCAAATGTGAATGTCCTTAATACCGCATACACGCACATGAAAATCCAGGCAGCAGAATGAAATTCTTCAGTTTTACTCTTCAGAAAAATTATAGGTTGTGCTACTTAAATCCCTGTGAGCCCAATCACAAAATTTCATTAAACAGTTTTCCATGTTTAACAGTTATTCATAGAAAGGTCCACTATAATAGTATTTTAGCACCATCAACCTGTCGAAATCAACCTGCCCAATTACTCCAAACTACATTAATAACACCGGATATTACACTAATTGTGTCCAGTTTCTATGCAGACGAGGTCCCGCGGGGCTAATTTTGCATCCTCAGGGGCAAGCAACTCAGCCATCAACCTGATTTCACCAGGAATCCCTCCTCATTACACAAGTCCAGGCTGTCAAACTTTTTTTCTAAAAAAAGGTTAATGGGCCAGTCAGTCATCAATTATTTCCTGGAAGGCCAGCAGACAAAGGGTTAAAGTGCGAAGAACCAGCTGCAACTGATTTCCATTTGGAAGTTAGTATCAACAGGAGATGTCTAAAATGTTGTTGTTGGTTTTGCTTTTTTTTTTTTAAAGTGGGAAGGGGTGGCTAGGATAGGAAATGAGCTGAAACTATAAGATTATGATGACATGGAACCTAAAGCATAAGTGATTTTTTTTTTTTTTAAGAGGACCAGTGGGAGTGGGCATGCAATTAGTAAATTTTAGGAAAACCACCCCACCATCATAACCACCACACCACTTCCAAGAATGGTACCACCATTTATGCTGCATATACTGTTTTTGCCATTATCTTTTCATAGTAAAATTACTGCATTTAACCCAAGTTAACATTTATTTTGCTCTGCCAAAAGACAGACATTGCTACAGCCCACCCACTTACGGAAAACAAGATATACAATTTCTTAGAAGCAAAGGATTGTGCAAGGGAAAACAAACATTTAGGCATCGTCTCACTGCATTCCCATACCAATGCCTGCGTTTATGGTATGTAACAGAGATCAGATTTAGAGAACTACACTGAAAATAACTACAGGATACAATTAGTCTATAACCTGTTCCAGAGAACTCAATTAAGTCTACTAAAATGTAGGGAAAACACATGTCCAGAAGCAGTTACGCCTCTTGGTATCCCGTAAGAGTGGTTCTAAATGGTGTGCATGTATCACTTTGTTCACAATTTCCACTTCCCACATCTTTTATTCTCAATATTAAGAATTGCATAAATAGCCACCGACACCTTGCACCAGTGGTGGGTAACCACAAGCACAGTTTGAAGTCAACAGAAGACAGGGGCCCCTTTCTGCCAGGCACTCTACAGTCAGAAATTACACCCATCCCAAAAGTCTGCTTTTAAACAAAAAAAATTTTCTATTTTTCCATGGGTATAAAACAAAGACTTGCCAGGCTTAAGGCATTTTTCACAGGCATACATGAATATTTTGCCAGAATCAGAAATAAAACTGGATCTTCTGGCTTCCAAGCCAACCAGCCTCTTCCACTAGGTGCCAGATTGTGCATTTGTATCTTTGCCCAAAGTAGCTGTCGGAGGATCCTGGTGCTGTTGCTAATTAATAGTAACTCACCGTGCACGTCTGGTGGATGATGCCACTCACACAGGAAACACTTTCCAGAAACAAGAAGTCAAGTGCGGAACCAAAAGATTCTCAATGGCGTATTTCAAACACCCGTGAAGCATCTTCCAGAGCTGAGGTTACAGCTTGAAACCTAGTCAAGCCTACCTCAAGCAACACTGAGACCTATTTAAACTCCCTTTTTATCACGTCCTTCTCCCTCTCTCAAAAATCACTTCCGCTCAAGCACCCTTCCTTAATAACCCTTCATCTTGTCAAAAGGA